GACCCGTCCCGTCCGTCTTGCTACAAAAACGGATTTGGATTACCATTCTCGAAGAAATGAGCGACTCTGGACTGACTTGTTAAAATTAATAGACATATATATGGCAATGGAAAAAAAAATTGGATAGACCCGCTAAACCCATTAATATTTTTATAATAATTAAGTTTTATATTTAATTATGATTCATGATAATAACATTTCTTAAAAATCTTAAATTTAAAAATATAATTGCCTCAATTGATCAATTTATTATTATCTCGTTTAGTCATTTTCCTTATCAATACTTCATATTTAGTGAAACAATTTATTTATAAAGTATGTACTGTTATGCATTTACGTCAAATTTGAAGTTGGAAAAAAAGTTACGTATTTTAAATTATTTTACACAACTTGTGATTTTATATAAGTTTTGTCTGCATAAAAATATAACAAGATTTTTAAGCCCGTGGACAAACCCGACTCGTTTATAAGACGGATATATGTAAGTTTTCAAGCCCGTAAAAAGGGGCTTGGTTTACCATATTAGATCCATTAAACAAAAAAAATAGGTTAAATCCGACCCAGGTCTAACCCAAACCAACAAACGATCAGCTCTACTAAATGGCCTCTGAATATATATTACGTATTTGGTATGTTTGTTTTTTTTTTTTTTTCTTGAACCTTGTGTTATTTGCATTTAATATTTTGTTCAACCTTGTGACTTTCGATTTTCTTTAATTCCCAAGACGTAACGTATGGATAAAGACGAACAAAAAATAAGCTAAAAGATAAGCAAGAATTTAAAGATTTTATTTTGTTTTTGTCGTTGAAGATGAAAGACAGAAGACTAAAATATTTTTGTTTTATTAGAAGGGTACTTGTCAATGCAGCAAGATACATCTTGATTTTAATATTTTATTTTATTTTAATCAAATTTAACTATTTAAAATTCATATTTTTTGTGTAATTTTTAATTTAATTTTTGTTATTATAATTTAATTTATGTTCAATAACGAAGTAATTTATATTTGGTTTAATAATATAATTTTTTTATAAAGATAATAATTAAATGTTTTGTTAGAACTCGATAATTAACCTAATTATATTTTAGATTTTTTATAGTTTAAAATGAGATGTTTATCCTCTATTTGATTATGTTTATCCATAGTTAGTTACACGAATTCAAATATGGAACTTTAATAAGTTGTACTTATGCATAGTTTACTTGTAATATTGAATTTTAAGTAATATGCATCAATATACAGTACTTCATGCATAAAAAATGGTTTTTAAGAGTTTTTGTCAAATATTTTATAATACTATAAGGGTACTCGCGCAATGCAGTGAGATACATCTCGATTTTAATGTTCTATTTTATTATTTGTCTCTGTCGATGTTMTAATACGATTTTATGTGTTTTTAAGAAAGCAATAATGATTTTATTTTTGAATAAAATATAAATTTGAAGATATTATAAAATTTTGAAAAAAAAAATATGAATGTTAATATCAAATCAACTATTTAAAAGTTATCATTTTTTATTATAATCTAATTTAAATTTAATAATAAAATAATTTATTTTTGGTTTAATAATATAACATTTTATAAAGATAATAATTAAATATTCTGTTAGAACTTAATGATTATCCTAATTATATTTTAGAATTTTTATATTTAAAATGATATGTTTATCGTGTATTTGATTATGTTTAGCTGCAGTTAGTTACACGAATTTAGATATGAAGCTTTAATACGTTGTACTTACGCATAATCTACTTGTAATCTTGAGTTTTAAGTAACATGCATCAATAAACAGTACTTTATGCATAAAAAATGATTTTTAAGAGTTTTTGTCAAATGTTTTATAATATAGTATAGATAGTATAGATTATCTTAAGGATCAATTTTCCTTTATTTATTGTTTTTATATATGTAATATATTATTTCCAATTTACGTTTATTCAAAATAATAATTATAACAAAATATATTATATAAAATGATCACAGTCACGTAAAAACGATAATGACATAAACCAAATCCATAATTAATTGAGTACATGAACGTTAGTCATAATTTTATCAAATCACAACGACAAAATCTGTAATTCATTCTTTAATATATTAAGAATACATGACATGTAAAACGTTTTTTTAAATGAATTTTGTAAAAATCTGCAATGCGAAATGTGGTGTTATTTATGTAGGTTGTTTTAAAATAATGTATTATAAATCCAATAATTATAATATTATATATTAAAAATAAATTCGACGAATTACATGTCCATAATCCATAAAAAGTTTAAATATGCGTAAAATACATAATTAAAGACAGTCCAAAGTAAGTTCAAGGACTAGGAGTCCCATAAGTAATCTAGTTATCTCAATACGTTTAAAATTGAGTTACTGACAGTCTGACACATCATAGTATCATAGTCGCCGCTATTTTTCAAACAATCAATCAGTATAGTATGAAAGTGTGAAATAAAAACATGAGATTAAAATAATAGCAAGTAAAGTAAGGAAAATGGATTAAGACTTTTTGAACTTTATATACACAAATATAAAATATGTACTATTTATATTTTCATACTTATCTCAAATCTTTTATTTTTTTATAGTTTTAATCAAATCAAGGGTTTCTTATGTTAATGTTTATTAATATTACTTATTTTTATCAATTGAGTATAACAAGGATTAAAAATTTCGTCCAGTAAAAAATAACAAGGACTGAGAGTATTACCGGTAAGTAAGAAAAAAAGACTCTCATGTAACATTTAATCTCAGTAAGTGTTTACTGAGATTAAATGTTACATGACCAAGTTGTTGATAAACGTTTATCTAATAAACATTTGGTAAGTGGAACTTTAGATAAATCATCCGTAACTGTTGAAATTTTACGACTAATATCATTATTTTAGGAGTAAAAAGCATGTGATGTTTGACTTGTTGGAACTAGTGTTACCGACCCAGAAAATTCACAAAATTTCGCCCCTATTCAGACGGTAGCACTAAACGTCCATTTAGAAGATACAACTATCTATTAAATTTGTCGCGTTTCCTTATGTATTCATGGATCGAATTTTGGACAAGAACCAGAGAAAAAACGAAGAGAAATTATAATTCTCGAGGGAAACAATGAACATATATGCTTTTGGCTTTTGAACAAACCCATGTGAGAGGCCGTAGGACACTCTTGTCGTTCCCCCTAAATGACCGCTCAGTGATAAAGGAGGTAATGGAACTTGGGTGTGGGTCTCTTGTCGAAAAACCCAAGGCCCATTTTTTGATGTTTAAATATATATCAAGCTTCCCTTGGTGCCCAATTAAGTCTCTTGAACGGGCTTTTTCTCCGGTTTAACAAGCTTTATAGGATTAACGTTATAAGCTTACTTACTTTCCCGTTTTTTACGTAACGAGTGAATTACTTAAATAAAAAACAATAGGGGACAAGTGCTTATAACGTATATGGCACGGATCATGTGGAAGGGTGAGTGAATGGGCACAATTATTTGGGTACAAGTAAATTGTAATGAATGGTAGCTATCGTAGTAGACGACCGGTTCGCTTTCAAGGACGACTTTAATGGTTGGTTATATGACATTGCATTCAGTTTAATAGGTACCCCTATTCCAACTCACCCACTCTCTCTAACCCATATATTGTTTTATATATTACGTTTAGAGTCTCATCCTATACGAGCCGATTAACCTCAGGACGACCACACGTTTTACGGGTAGACCGAAGTCATTGCATTTGAACTTCCGTAGCCACCAGGGGATTTTTATTTCTCTTTGGATTCAAATCTGTGACACTTTTGACCTTTAGAGCCCAAACTCATACCAATCAAGCATCACCCTTGTATATTTAAACTAAACTGATATGATGATATTGAAAGTGGGAGTCCAAATCTCCCACTTCATAATAAAAATAGATTAATTGTATTGTCAACTTGATATATTAATATATGTTGGATATATAGTCAGTGTTAGAACACGTTAAACAGAAAAAGACATTAAAATGATTTTTAACATTTAATAGAAAATTAAAGAGACGTCTTAAGTTGTTCATTTTAATATAACCCATAATCTTTTTTAAATTCTATAATAATATTCTTGGATTTTTTTTTTATCAATATTTAATATTCAATTTGTATGGAGCCGACTTCATTTATTTAAAGATTACGACATTTGATTTCACATGTAATATACAATGTTTAACTATTGATGATTAAATAACTTAAATTATTGATCTCAAGCAATTACCGATAATTGTTGATAAAAAACCAAATCATACGAAAAATACAAAACATTACATTTATGGGACAACGACATAAAGTATTGTATCTTTTTTAAACGTAACAAGCATTATTGAAAAGAAGATAGGTCGGGGGTTAGATCTAGGCCCCCGCTAATCTCAGTCATGGAATAAGCCAAAATGTCTTTTCACATTGATGTCCTTGAATGTGAGTTTTATATGGGGCTGTTTGTTTAACTCTTAATAGTTTCATTAAGATTGCAACATCTGAATCGTTAAGAGGTGAATATTGTTTAGTGGAAAAAAAAATCTGTCTCTTAATGGTTCTAAAACCCTCTTAATAATTTTGTATATTGGGTCTCTCTTAACCATTCAGCACCCTAATTTCGTTGTAAATAATTACCAAATAATTATATTTCATTTTGCAATATATCATGAGAACTTATTAATCATTCTAACCACTTAATCATTTTGAACCAAACGATCCCTAAATTGAACCGCTTACCCCAACTATCTTTTTCCGATGGTAACAAAAAGTCTATCTCAAAGCGTTTTACTTTGATTTGTGTGTTAGGTTGTATTTGATTTTTCTTATAATCCTTCACTTACATGCTACATATAATACAAAAGCATAATCTTGATTTAAAATGCAAAAAAAGAACTAATACGTAAATTATCGTTTTTTCTGATTTATTTAACACAACAAACAAACAATAATTTAATTTAATTTAATTTAATATATAATGACAAATAAAACCCCCAAAATCTGCATAATTGTTCTTAATTTCTTGAGAACCTTGATTGAAGGAGAAGAAACAACCTACTTACACAGAATATGGACCAAGAAAACAATACAACATGATAACAAATTCTTTTTTTTTTTTTTTTTTTGCATCAAATGAAACCTTCCATTGATGATGAACCAAGATACAGATCCATGGGAAAAAAATCAACAACAGGGCAGTTCCATTCTGGATTAACTAGTGTGTTCAAAATAACCATTCCAAAAAAGATAACGATGACCCACGACACCGAAGTTCTTGGGCTTCAAAGGGTTGATTCTGTCTTTCCATACAGTGTTTCCTGAGCCTTGTTCGACACAAAACCGTAACCTTACTGGCTTCTTCAAGGCTACGGAAAAAAAGAAGAAGAAATCGAAACAGAAGTTGGGCAATTTTCTACATTGCATTCCCTACTTCTGCTCTTCTGTTTCTGAATTCTTCTCCTGTTTCTTAAATTTCCAAGTGCTTGTGATCATAACCAAAAGCTTTTCACCAAATTGTTCAATCTTCTGATCAAAAAGTGCAGTCTTTATAGCACTTCATCTTCAGTTATCATCCTATTTACAGGTCAGGTTGCTTAATAGCATAAGCTTCAATCAATTCATCATATCCTCCAACTTTGTTGGAGACGACTGGAGTCGGGTTACTAGCAAATCCAGAGCTTCTCTCATCCAAGCATATTGGCAACTTTCTTTAGCTTTAGAAGCGCTCACCTGAATAATTTTGAAAGATTTGTAAGCATAAAATCTTTACAAAAACTTGGTGATTCAATTCAAAGTCTGAATGATTTTCATTTTAAGACGTACCCAAAATCTTTGGCGTATGTTTTTCTCAGGCCATAAGTCAAGTTCTTCTACCACAAGTAGTGGAAACATGTGCCCTTCGTAGTATGCATCATTGCCTTTGCTCTTGAAGCACCATTTACCCAATTCACTCTATAAGAAATTCAAAAACGAAATAGGTAAATCAAACAATTCTTTCAAGTTGACAGAAGTGCCCATTTGGGTCAGATTGTTTTTGATCATTGAGGAGTTATTTTCACGAATTTGGATACATTGTGGACATGAGAAATTATGAAGAAAGCAACGAACCTCAATGGCTCCAGACACGCCGGCTTCTTCGATTGTTTCTCTTAGAGCAGCAGCTTGAATCGATTCATCCAATTCCCAACCACCCTGTTTGATCATGTGTTAATGATAAATTTTAGGGCAAGGTTTCATATATACAATTGAATTATGAAACATTTTGGAACTGAAAGTGAAGGGTTTACCTTAGGGAACAACATTCCTTTGCTTTTTCTTTGAGCACTTATAACAAGCACCTCGAGTACATCTTCTATATTCTTGCTTGATGCCTTGATACCACCTTTCAATCTGTAAGGCACACATCTGCATAACATTTACAAAACAAATTAATATTTCAGAAATGAAAAAACTAGAAACTAATCCGTCGAAGAGATCGAAAACCCCCACCACTTCCTATGTCAAAAATCCGATAAATATATGGGTTTGATTCTTTTCCTTCATATGATGAAAATTGTTCAGAAAAGTTCATTTCACATTTGGATTTGATATTGACTTCAAACTTCCGCCAAATTTCAAAAGAATTGGGTTATAACTTGGATACCCCCAAAATTGATGGTTCCCCAATTCGAAATTAGCAAAATTAGGATGAACCCATTTCGAATCATACATTTTTCGATCCACCCATAATTGCTAACCCAAATTCAAAACGCTCAGCACAAAAGATGGATAGATTTAAGAACAGAGACTAACCCAACAACTATACGTTGACCGCAGTTGTAACGCTGTAACGCCCGGCCGCTACGAGCCACCACCTCAGCCACCATTTTTTTTCTTCTTTTAAATTACTACTGAGAAACAAAAGATCGAAAAACAATACGATACCAGAGAAGAAAAAAAGTGAATCAGAAATCTCTGTTGAAGCACCAAATGAAGATCTCAGTTGAAGTTGGAGAAAGGAGAGACCCTGAGGAACACATATATAATACATCAGATAAAAGCAAAGAAGGGGGGG